TGCTAACCTCAAGGTCGGCAGTTCAAAACTACCAGCGGTTCCACGGGAGAAAGATGAGGCGTTCTGCTCCCACAGATTTACAGCCTCAGAAACCCTGTGCAGGGTCACTATGAGTCGGAACCGACTCCACAGTACTTAACAACAACAATGCCTAAGATATCGATGTTTATGAGTTCCATTTCATTTTTGACAACTTCCAATTTTCCCAGATTCATCTTTCGTATATCCCATGTTCCAATTTTCAGTGAATGTTTACAACTGTTTCTCTTCATTTTGAGTTGTGCTCTATCAGCAAGTAAACGTCCCGCGGGCTTCTCTCCCACAGGCTTTACTCCATTCACATCATCACGGTCAAATCTACTTTGAGGAGGCAGCTCTTTCCCAGTCACATTTTAAGTGCCTTCCATCCTCAGGGGCTCTTTTTCCAGCACTATATCTGACAATGTTGCTCTGCTATTCATAAGGTTTTCAGTGACTAAATATTCTAAAGTAGTTCATCACTCTTTCTGCCTAGTCTATCTTCATCTGGAAGCTCATCTGAAACCTCTCCACCATGGGTGACCCTGCTCTTATTTGTATTACCGGAATAACTTTCAGAATCACAGCAGCTCTCAAGCCACCACAATAGGACAAACTGACAGACGAGTGGTGCGTGTGCTACATATATACCCATAAATATAAAAGTACATAGAGGCCACAGTTACCGAGACTTCCTAGACAAACCCAAACAACTTGTGGAATTGGTTTATTGGTTGAAGTTTGTCTTAGAACCATAATCTTGTAAGATATTTTAGTCAATTTATATCACATGTTTATAAAATGAATGTTTTATACCCAAGTTTGGTAAGTAATGCCTGGGATCTTAAAAGTTTATAGTCAGCCATCTAAAATACACCTACTTGTCTTTTCTCATCTGGAGTAAAAGTTGGTGTTGTTAAGTGCTATCTATTCAGGCAATTCTGACTCATAGCGACCCTGTATAGGGTTTCCAAAGAGCAACTGATGAGTTTGAACTGCCAGCCTTTTGGATAGCAGTCCAGTGCTTGTCCTACAGCACCACACCAGGAGTAAAAGAGAGTGAAGAAAATCAAAGACTAAAGGAAGAATCTAGTTCACAAAAATAATAATCTGCACAAACTACAGCCTCTTCTAACCTTAGATCAGAAGATCTTGATAGTGCCAGACTATCACTACTGACTGAGATGGTGCCCAGATAGTACCAACCATTCTGACTGAGGACATAATTGAAAATACCAGTCAGAAAGGAAAAGGAGCATAGAAATTCAGATTTCCAAAAAAATGACCTGACTTACTGGACTGATAAAGACTAGAGGCATAAATTTCACAAGCCACCCCAGTGCGACAAACTGACAGACGAGTGGCAGGTAGGTATGTGGTAGTTCCTTCAAAAGGCCATGTAGTTTCCTTCTAAATTTTATAAATAAGAAATCTGAAATAGAGAAGTTACGTGAGTAAGTTTTCAAAATTAACATGTTAATAAAATAAACATCATAGCTATGTGCAGTGCAGCAAATTCCTTGATAAGGCCCTTCTAGCCATAGTCTTTTTGTAACTCACACCAAATGGCTGAGTGGAGCAATGCAAATGTGAAGTAATTGTAGCCCACCAAGGTGATTGGATACCTTGCTAATAATATAACTAAGGAACATGGTGCCCTTGTAGGGGGGTTGTTGTTAAGTGATATCAAGTCAGTTCCAACTCATAGTGACCCTGTATAGTGTTTCTGGGGAGCAGCTGGTGAATTTGAACTGCCGAACTTGCAATTCAAACCAACCTTGCAGTCCAGTGCACTATCCTGCAGTGTCAGGACCATATAAATAAGGTGAATAAAATCCTAATGATAGAATTGGTCAGTTTTGCCATCCACTGGGCTTAAAATGAGCCTTCCCAGCAGCAAATAGGAATATCTCACTACCATCAAGAAATAAGAACCAGACAGAATAGTGGAGCACAGAGTATGGAATAGACACAGGATAGTTTGGGTGCTGGGGGGAGCATACACACTAGAATGGGAAGGGGGAAGGAAAATAAGGTGGATGGCAGAATAGCTAGGAAGGTTTACATGGGCTAAATAGGACACAGATAAATAACGATGTAAGCACAAACATGGAAAAACAAGGCTCATTGATACAAAGATTTAGGCATGGTTTGAATGGGTAAAAGTGGGGAAGTGATGTTAAGGTGCTTGGCTGTCTTTTGAATCTTGGTTTCCCTTACCTTCTCTTGTAAAATAGACACTTGAAGGGAGAGAGAGGAATAGCCAGAAACATCACCAGAGAAAGCTTGTAAGTCCGTCTTCAGCCTATAACTGATTGGAATACCTAAAATGGGACTAGAACTTGCCCAGTGAAGGAGGCTCCCTGCAGAGCCTTTGCATTGCACAAGACCATAGGTGGAATCCTGGTCCCTGTCCAGAATCTTCTGAGGTGGGACATTGCCACTTAAAAGGACAAGCAGACTAGGCTGGAGCAGCTAGAAGAACAGAAGATACTTCTTGAAAGAAAGACCAGCAGAAAAAAATGAAAAACAGTAGCAGTCCAACTGACTACTGTAAGAACAAGCAAATTATTCCCCAGGGAGCCATCAAGGCAAGTGGTCAGGTCCTCTCAAGGCAAACCTCCTTCCAAGACTGAAACTCCGATGGAATGAATACACTAGCAGGCATATGTTCCTACTGCTGACCACCTTGGTCACTGATAAGGGGAAGTGGGGGGAAAACAGCAATGAAGTTGTCAACTAAGTCTGACCACATTCAATAGACTCCTATTAACCTGGATTGAGATCTGGTTAACCAGCAGTATGATGAGACCAGGGGCAGGAACATGGGCCCAGAGAACTAGAACGGAGTGTGAAGCATCCACCTGATATGAAGTGAGGGGAGATGCACAAGAATACCCACACTTGCAGATAGTACCCATTTGACCTGGAACCAATGGCTGGATGATCAGAACAGGACTAGAGGGAGAAAGAAGGGGGGGGGGTGTTAGGAGTAACCCACTACAAGTGGATGAACTTGACCTATGCTTGTAGATGCAGTATGACAAAAGAGCAGACAAATCTCTACAGTGAGTATCATTCCCACCCCCTTGGTACACTGGGTCGACAGAGATGAGGAACTTAGACATTGGCTACCCAAAATGAAGGGACTATAAAGGCAAGAAATGATTGGCTTACAGGCTTTCAATAGGGAACCTAGCTCCAGAAGATACAGGGAAAGGTAGAATCTCCACTGGATTGTTTCCAGTCTGTCTGGATGGGGTTGATAAAAGGTGAGGGGGAAAGGACTCCTGTGGTTCAATAGGGAATGATTGCTATCAGTTCTGACAGTGAGTGTTGGAAAGGTAAATGGAAATGTTTGATAACAAAAGGAGGAGAGTGGCTGATTTTGCAGTCCAGGAGTGAAGATCCCTGGAACAATCAAGGGAGAAAATCTTAGTGGGAGACCCTGTCTGGGGAGGCAGTGACACTTAGGGATGGAGGCAGAGATGATGATGATGATGATGACGACGACGACGACAGTGACGTGGAGAGAAGGAGTGGCTGGTGACTCTGGACTCGGAGGGAGAGGGGCTTTGTGCTGACCGCCAGGGGACAGGCATGTGGGATGTACCCTTTGAGTGTTTGATGATGCATGCAGGGGATTGTGATCATTGCAATGAAACAAAATATGATAGGATGAATTTAATGTTCACCCATGTAAACTAACACATAATTCACAATTAAAAAAAAAAAAAGGCAATCCAGTGAATAAAAGGACACATTTTCATTTTTAAAAAAAAAAAGAAAAGAAAAGAAATAAGAACCAGGAGTGGAGTGCGATTCAAGATGCCTGAAGCAGAGAAACAGCAGCAGAACCAGGAGAACAACAGAAGACAGAGAGCTTCCTGACCCAGAGAGCATGGAAGTTGAGTGCCTTCAGGCAAGCAGATTGCTAGAGTAGGAGGTGCCTCTTAGACATTTTTCTCAGGAGCTAGGGTTCTAGCTTTGAGATACCTTTGGGCCAAGGCTTACTGGAATAGTGGAGTGCCTTTTGGACATTTATCTGCAGGGCTAAAAGAGTTTTGTAACATTTACTTGCGCACAGGGCAAAGACTAAGGGACCACATGGCTGAGAGACTGGGACAGAGACAGGTGTGCATGTGGGCATGGCTGAGAAGAGGTTTTCCTGACTGAAGAACTGTATCCTGAGTATTTCTGATCCTGAATTTGTAACTAGTCGTTTCCCTAATAAACCTCATAATTGTGATTATTGTCTGTGTGGCCATTGCAACGAATTACCAAACTCGGTAGAGAAGTACAGAGTGCCTTGGAATGGCTGATTGGTGTCAGAATTGGTTAAAAGGTTGGAGGGTGAAATTGTGTCTGACCTCCACCTCATTGGAATCAGCCTTGAGCCAATGAAGCTGATGATCTTAATTCTCCTCCTCCTTGTGAAGTTAGAGGAGGTCAGTCATTGCCCCCATACCGTTTTTGCATTGTGCTTATTATTTGAAGCCATGACAGAAAAAGGAAGCATTTTACTTCTGAGTCACAGAGGAGTCATCTGTATTACTACTCGGACTAAGCTGAAATTCTTTTATCCCCTTATCCTTTTGGTGCCACTCATTGGATTGTATCTTTCTCTAGGTGCTATACCTTCTCAACCAGTTACAGCAAAGCCGAATGTCAGAGAAGCAGCTAGAGGAGTCAGTCAGTGAAAAGGAACAACAGCTGCTGAACACACTGAAGTGTCAGGTATGATAATGAGGGAAAGGCCTCTAGAGATGGGTTCCACATCTCTGATTGAGAATCCTGTCTGATTTAGACCATTGCATGTGCTGCAGAGAGTAATTAACTAATAATAATAATGTTTTGGCCCTATTTGATCTATTTATGACTACTTGGCATGTAGCCACACACAGGACAACCTAGATTTTGGTACAGGAACAGCACTGCATACTTCATTCAGACTTTGAGGCCTCCTGATTCTTTGCCTCAACTGAGCTCTACATAGTTGAGGAAGTTAAATCATCCAATAAATATTTAGAATCCTAGAGTTATACCTATCTGAGCTTGTTCTTCTTAGCTGAGACCTAATGTGTTTATGAAATGCCTGGGGTCTGAATTTCTTCCAGAGTCTAAGAACACCACACCCTTTAGTAGCATGTTGGAGTACTGTTTTAGTCCAACTCAGAATCTTTTTCCTAAATCATCAGTCTCTAGAGTTTCCTTGGTATGTTCCATCTAAGACATACCCAAACTAGTTAAGGTAGCATGCTTGAATCCAATTGTCTTAAGTGCCAGGAAGTTTAATCAGGCTTATTAGAGTATCAAATATTCTGCCTAGTTTGTGTTCTGAAGATTGACTAGAAACATGTGTAGAATTCAAGGAAACAGAACCAACTCTGAGGGTTTCTTAATTAGCATCTTTTTGTAAATAAGGGATGTGAGGCTAGCGGATGGAAAGAATAAGGAAGGCAAGCCTGTGGTTCCTACGAGTGTGGTCAGAGTTGATGGGAGCATTGGAACAAATCCTACATTCAAGGAACCTAGCAACTAGGAATCAGCCATTTTGGGGGGATTCCAGCATCTACTGTACAAAAACCATTTGCTGCCAGAAGCTTGGCAGTAGTATGTTTTCAACTGCGTGAGTTGTTTGGTAACCCACATTTAGTGCCCAAACAACCCACCTCTGACTGTACTGGAGTCCTGATGTGGTACTGCAGGATAAGCAGTGGATTGCTAACCACAAGGTTGGTGGTTCAAACCCACCAGCCACTCCTCAGAAACCCTATACAGGGTCTTTATGTGTTGGAACTGAGTCAATGGCACTTAATAACAACATCATGACTGTACTATCTGGAAACAGGATGAAGAACTTGAGAAGATGCGAGAAGTATGTGAGCAAAACCAGCAACTTCTCCAAGAAAATGAAGTTGTCAAGCAGGTAATAATACAGTTTCCCACTCACTTGATAAGCCCTGGGCCAACTCTTGGGAGCAGCACTCAGTATAATGACTTGGTTCTATTTATGAGAACTACATTGAGTTTTCATATGATATGTTGTAGTTAAGTGTTGTTAAGTCCGTTCCAACTCATAATGACCCTGCCTAGGGTTTCTGAGGAGCATCCGGTGGGTTTGAATGGCCGATCTTGTGGTTTACAGTCCAGTGCTGATCCTACAGTGCCATACCAGAAGTCCGTCATATGATATAATTGTATGCATTTCAAAAACTAAAACCCACTGCTAATGTGTTGACTCCAACTCATACTGACCCTATAGGACAGTGAACTGCCCCATAAGGTTTCCAAGGCTCTTAAATCTTGATGGAAGCAGACTGCTATATCTCCATAGCGATTGATAGGTTCAAATTGCTGACCTTTTGGTTAGCAACTAAGCACTTGTAACCACAGTGCCACCAGGGCTCCTTTGCAAATTGATATAAACATGAATTTTTTAACTTGCCCTTTTCTGAATCTACTGCTGATCTTGGAACGTGAGAGTCCTTCAGCCTGCTCTACTATAGTCCTACTTCACTTTACTATGGTTTAAAAGTGAGCTAGCCAATGCAGCCTACATTGGGAATCTTTGTGTTTTAGCCATGAATACTCCAAGCTACCCTGCATTATATGCTTTGTCTCTTTTCAAATAGAAACTGACTCTTCTCCAAGTAGCCAGCAGACAGAAACCTCATCTTCCTAAGGTTACCCTTCTATCTCCAGATTCTTCTTTTGAATATATTCCGCCTAAGGTAAAATGCTCAGTGCCTCTGATAACATTTTATAGCCAAGGTTTGTGGTAAGTACGTTGAAATAGCCATTTTATAAAAGGTTGAGAGTTTAAATTCTCAAATTCTAGCATCTCAATTTCCCTTGAATTCCCAGATAAAACTACAGTACAATTCTGAGAAAAAATAGTATCCTTCCTCAGAAGGCTGACCTTTGGCCATGCACAACAGGCATTGTGTAACTCAAGTGAAGAGGAGAATCAGGAACAAGAGCAGTGTTCAGCTGTCCATCTCATCATATCATGAATCCCCTCCCTTCCTCTCTCAGTTGGCTCAGACTCCCATTGCTGTCTCTTCAAAAGCTCTATGAGGCCAAAGGCTAAAGCAGAATTTCTTCTGATTGGTAAAGTCAAGTAGGACATATATGAGGGAGTTTGAAGACGTCTGCTCTAAGAATATAACTGGCAAGAGTTACAAAGAAGATATCATGCCATATGTACTTCTTTTTATTTTTAATGAAATAATCATACAAAACTTCTTTTTTCCTTAGCCAAAACCTTCCCGTGTTAAAGAAAAGTTCTTGGAACAAAGCATGGACATCGAGGATCTAAATTATTGCTCAGAGCAGTCTGTGAATGAGCATGAGGATGGTGATGGTGATGGTGACAGTGATGATGAGGAATGGAAGCCTGCAAAATTAGTTAAGGTGTCCAAGAAGAACATCCAAGGGGTAGGAACCAGTTCCACAACTCTATCAGGAGTTCTAATCACTAGCATTTACTAAAGTAGGATAGTAGCTCTCTGATTCTAGGAATGTGCAGTTTGACAGTTGGGGAAGAGGGGAAGAAGGTGGAGTGTTGTTTGGCCAGCTCTGTAGAGTCTGGGACTAATGTAAAGGACTGTCTTGAGTACACAACCTGGGTGTCTTCATGTTCTTAGGTTCTACCAGTCTGAACAGGCAGTGATCTATACTATTTCATTGAGGTTGGTTTCAAAGTGATTATATAATAATCTATTACACTGAAAGTACTATGAAGAGACTATTGAAAGTACCATGGACTGTCAAAAGAACAAATAGATCTATGTTGGAAGAAGTACAGCCAGGGTGCTCCTTGGAAGCAAGGATGGCCAGACTTTGTCTTTCATACTTCAGCCATATTGTCAGGAGGGACCATTCACTGGAGAAGGATATCATGTTTGGTACAGTGGAGGGTCAGAGAAAAAGAGGAAGATCACCAACGAGATGGATTGGCACAGTGGCAGCATCAATGGGCTCAAACATGGCGGTGGTTGTGAGGATGGCCCAGGACCGGGCAGTGTTTCGTTCTGTTGTACATAGGGTCACTATGAGTTGGTACCAACTCGATGGCACCTAACAACAACAACAACATTACATTACATTATTATGTTGTTGTTGTTGTTAAGTGCCGTCGAGTCGGTTCCGACCCATAGCGACCCTGTACAGGGTTTCTGAGGGTGTAAATCTTTACGGGAGTAGAAAGCCTCATCTTTCTCCCGCGGAGCAGCTGGTAGTTTCGAACCGCTGACCTTAAGGTTCGCAGCCCGATTCGTAGCCACTACGCTACCAGAGCTCCTTTTACATTATTATAGTGCTTTACAATTTATAGACCATTCTTATATGTGTTATCTCTTAATCGTCACAAAAGTCCAATGAGGAATTTATTGCTGTATGCATTTTACAGATGGACCTGAGACTCACTGGAGGGAAATGACCTTGCCCAAGGTTTTAAAACCAAGTGGCAGGGCACAAAAGCAAAGTTCAGTTTCTGTTTACAACATCATGATCATGTCAATAAAAGCTGCAGACCAGTAGCTGAATGAGAACTTTATCTTTCTTGCCTAATATGGTGATTTTCCTCACTAGGCTAAGAGGCAAAGGAAATTAACAGAAAAAGCTAATAATTAAGATAGAACACACCCAGTTAAAGTTAGCTAGGAACAATGTAACTTTGAAGCATGCTTTATTTCACAGTAATCTGCCTACATAATTATCAAACCTAGATGTTTTATGTTGAAACACTAACTTTCCCAGGCATTGCATTTTTCCACCACCACCCCAACTGTGCTCTGTAGTCCCATTCTGCCTAGAGAAGAGTTCATAAATGACCTTTCTGGAAGGTTACTTGATTTCATTAGCTGATAGTTCACCACATGAGGAACTAATCCTTGTAAAGCTACAACACCAGAGAGAAGATGCGATAAGCCATATGAAATAGACAGTAATAGTGATGTTCAATCATTTGATCAATCAGTAGTCATATCACATGCTATGGGTCTAAGAGCTCCTCCTTAGCCTCAGAGAACTTATAATTGAATGGGCAAACAATACAAAGAAATGGGAGCATACCATAGAACCTCAATAGATTCAATGGTCTGAGAGGTTTTTAGGAGTAACTGTAAAGCTAAACCAAGTAGGTAGGTTAGTTAGAAAGATGACATGAAAGAGGTGTGATGCTATAGGATCAGCACTGGACTTTGAACCACAAGGTCAGCAGTTCAAACCCACCAACTGCTCCTCAGAAACTATACAAGATCACTATGAGTTGGAACCGACTCAATGGCACTTAACAACAACAAGATGGAAAAAAGAGCTATAGTCTTTGGAGCAACTGAGAACATTTCTGGCGAGATGAATAGCATATTTCAAAAGCTTAAGAGATGGCAGTAGAGAGGCAAAGGAGTAGGGCACAGAGAGAAAATGGAATAGAACACATCTGTCTGTCCTTTCATTTAGTGAACAAGCTTTTATGGATCTCTTGCCAGCCGCTCCTCAGAAACCCTATACAAGGTCGTTATGAGTCCAAACTGACTCGATGACACTTATCAACAACAGCTACAACTGTGGTTTAGAGCCCTGGTGTGGTGCTGTAGGATAAGCACTGGACTGGTAACTACAGGGTCAGTAGTTCAAACCTACCACTTGCTCTCAGCAACCCTATACAGGGTTGCTATGAGTTGGAACCAACTTGACAGTACACAACAACTATGGTTGAAATAGAAGACTCATGTTGAATGTAGATTAAATGTCAGTTAAGTAGTAAGAGGCAGAGTAGAGAAGCACACACAAAAACAAATGGTTGTTGTTGTTGTTAAGTGCCATCAAGTCGGTTCTGACTCATAGTGACCCTGTATAGGGTTTCCATTGGAGTAGCTGGTGAGCTGGAACCACTGACCTTGCTGTTCAAACCGACCTTGCAGTCTAGCGCATTAACCCACAACACCACACCAGGACATAAATGGTAGAGAACCTAAAACTAAAGGAATCTTCCTAATTCGATGCAAAGATGGATATACTTGTCCTCAAAAGAAAGCTTGTTATATTTATTACAGTGCTGTTGCTCTAAGCTTGAAAGAGAAATATGTGATTTTAAAAGGTCAGGTTAGCTAGTTTCTCCCTTTTGGCAATCTCACAGTACATGGATGCTGTAACTACAATTGAATCAGATTGCTCATAGACACATGAGAAGCATGAAGCATGAAGGCCATCCTAATTATTACTGCTTCAAACTAGTATCACTACATTACTGAAAAGGAGACTGCAGTAGGCACCAAATTGATGACTTTCCCTGAGTTAGTTTTGAAAAAGCAGGCATCTTCACTCAGCCATGTTTCCTATAAGTCAGATGCTGAGAAGTAGGTTTTATGCTAGAAAAAGTAATAGCTTAGAAACCAGAAGACATGAGTTCTAGTCTTGAATTTGCCACTAGTTGAGCAAATCACTTAACTTCCCTAAGCTTCAGATTCCTATTTATGCAATGGAGGGATTAGACTGGAAACTATAGGGGTATATATCCTTAGTCAAAGTAATAGTCAAGGTAATTAATAATATAACTATATATGGTATTATGGAGTACTGGTGTGGTGCTATATAATCACTGGACCATAAGGTCAGTGGTTCAAACTCACCAGCCAGTCCTCTGAAACCCTGTACAGGGTTACTATGAACCGGAACCAACTTGAAGGCATTTAACAACGACAACAACAGCATAAGGTGTTATATGGTCTCTGAGAGCTTAAATGAAGGAATATGTGTAAAAGTACCTTGTGAAGGCTAAAATATGCAGGCATTGTGTTAAAGCACTGTAAGCATTTATCGAGCTTTCCTATTTGTCCCTTTTGGTAGAAATGAGAAAACAGATATTGTTGTCTCTACCTTACTGATAAAAAAATGGAGATGTACTTGAAGTGACTTGTTCAAAGTCAAGCATATGAATACAGCCTGATAAAATCTTATCATTCTCAAATATGGTATAACACTGAAATTAGTGCTTTAAAGCAGTACTTCTCAACTCTGACTGCACTTTAGAATTCCCAAAGGGGCTTTTAAACACAGGGAACCTGGGACCCCACCCACAGATATTCTGATTTAATTGGTCTGAGGTGAGACCTGATCTTTTTCAAAAGCTCACCAGAGATTTCTTGTGTGTAGACAGGGTTGAGAACCACTGGGGCTCAAAGAAACCCTTGAGGTCTTTCAGCTTTATTTCCCACTCTAAATAAATAATCTGCTATAGTGGTTCTCAACTATGGTGTTGGGACATACTGTTGAATTGTTATTTGTTGTACACACACACAACTTCATACCTACATGCGCCTGTGTTGATGTTGTTGGTGGGTATGTGCTGTCAAGTTGGTTTCAACTCATAAAGAACCTACATAGGTTTTCTGAGGCTGTAAATCTTTATGAGAGCAGAAAACTTCCTCTTTCTCCCTGTGGTAGATTTGAACTGCTGACTGTGTGGTTAGCAGCCCAACTCATAACCCACTACGCTACCAGGCATGGCCCTACATATATTATTTGCAGTAATGTTTATGGTAAAATCTCTTTCTCATATTATAATCATCCTGGTGTAAGAGGGATCACAATGAAGACAATGAACACATGCTAGTGCACATGGCATTCATGCAAATATATGTCATGTGTGTCGTGACAGTTCTATATTGTTATTTATTAGTGTTGTTGTTGTTAGGTGCCATTGAGTCATTTCCGACTCAGCTACCCTGTCTATGGTTTCCGAGGGATGGTGTATTATTCTCATAATAAGAAAAAATATAGTGGTTTCTTTTGCCTTCAGAATAAAAGTGATAGTTCTCATTATGAAAAATACAAAGGGTTTCAGTTTGACTACTAACTCAGTATGAATCTGCAAAGATATTATAAGCAAAAAACCTGTTTTTTTTATGTCTCAGTAGCAGAACTATTGGGTTCATAGCAAAGGAGATATTTATCTCAGTCTACTTCACAATTGTCAAAACCACATCTGGAATGTTTTGTTTTGTTTTTTTTTTTTAATTTCTGGATGTTACAAGTAAAGATGGACTTTGATATTGATTTGAAATCAAGGTGATGAAGATAATGTGGAAAACACGTCATATGGGCTATTGAAGAAGATGGGTTTATTTAGCTTTGAGAGGATATGAGGAGAGGGTGACAAGGAGTGAAAATTATACTTAGGGTGTGAACAATAGGCTTTGAAAGTGAGGGTAAACTTATCCTGTGTCATTCCAGATGGCAGAATTAGGTCCTATAGTTAGAAGTTATATAGAAACTAATATCCTTAGAATAACTAGAGCTTTGAATGTTGTGAGGGACTTTGTCCATCATATCAGGCTTTCAATTATCTCTAAATTTTCTTCTAACTTAAATATGTTAATTTTTTTTATTATTATTTAAGGTTTCTATTGTACATTGAGTGAAAGTTTACAGGG